TCCAACAAAAATTCTTTGGTATTTGTTTCCAAAAGTGGTATGTGCACGAACTGTGGGTCTTATCGAATTATGCAATATTTATGATACACTTTAGAAAATGGATTGACGTGGCCATTACACTCGCGATTTATTGCGCACATTTGACTCAATTTCTGATACCTAAGTCAGAGAAAAAAAAGAAAGATAAAAGGAAGAGAAATTGCTGGTGGAAAATATTCGCTGTCGTTAAAACCATATCAACGTGGTGTTAAGTCGGCAACCCCGTTTGCGACGCTGCAGACTTCGCGTCTTACTTTATTTTTTAGATCGAAAACTACTCAACGGTAATGCTTGAAAAATGATGTGATTTTTCCTCTCTGTGCGGAGAAGATTCTGCGAAAACTCCAAGGAATGATGTCGATTTGTTCTCCTTTAAAAAAATTTAAAATAGGAGCGGAGATTTTCACACATCTGAAACGAGATACGTGGTTGCGAACTTGCACCGTCGATATATTGAATTCATGCTGAAAGCATCTTCCCTCCGTTTAATTTTGCATTTAATTTCGAGAAATATTTTTCAATATATACTATATTTTTTTGAAATTTCATGAAGCATATCACATGAAATTTCAAGATTTTATTTTTCATGAAACATTGCAACCCTGTATGTACCAGGTTTTGAGAATGTTTCTTCCTGACTCACCCTGTAAAATCATGATCGAAATTCAGCGGACAAATTTTATTCGTGGGTACCTCCTCAAGCTTGCTAATTTCTGTATTTCACCTAATTCCGCTCAACTAGATTCCTGATTATCATTAACGTAAATGAAGGCGAAGGGCCCGAAATGCGGGCGGCCCACGGCTCTTTGGAGCCCAGTCGCATGTTGAAGTTTATACATTTTTCCTAAAATGTAATCCCGTAATCGAGCGNGGGGGGGGTCATAGAGGGAGCCCAGAAAGTTTGTAGGAGTCTAATATGCAACCTGCGTACCAATTATATGAGTTATGACTCCCTAATTATTGATAAAAATTTGAGCAAATAGTTACAAGGACAGAGCGGATATGGCTCCTTTGATTGGCAACAAGGTTCTCCTCTTAGTCAAGAGTTCACACCGAACCTTCCTTGTGACAAAACTATTTTCAAGGCCGGCTCCAGGCTAAGAAGTAACCACACACGACTATCGTCAGTTTTCATTCACGCCTATCAGGGATACTTTTTTCTTTAGCGGTGCGGTGGTGGGACCCTTTCACTAACGGCGACCTATTTGCATCCTTTGTACGCTTTTCCCTCGATTCCAGCCGCGAGCCGACTCTATCCCTCCTCTCTCTTCTTTCCTCTCTCAATCATCTTCGCACTGTCTTTTTGGAAATGGAGAGATTTCAGCGTTGCCAAAATCCACAGATATTACGTAAGGGCTACCCACTAACCGTCCAACTTTGAATGTGGAGAGGAAATGCATTAAGATCCACAGACGGTCCTTAATGGCTTAGCGCCTATATTTAAAATTTATGTCTAAAATCACCCGAGAGACGTACTTCACTCGACAAAATCTGTTGAAGTCCATTTTTGCCTCGATTTAAAATGACATGAGCTGGCCAATATTTAAAATTTGGGACCTTCCATTGAAGCGAAATGAGTTTTCATTAAGCGGATATTTGTGCTGTACCAGCATATTGTACAGGAATTTCTATTCAAGTTTTGGGTACCTACCCATAACAGAATTGTTTTCTTAAGGAAGTAATCAAATATCGATATTTTTAATGCGTATCTGGCAACGTGGTAGAACGGAGCGCTTTCTTTCTTCTTACCCCTGCCTCCGCCGGTCGTGAAAATATCAACCCCTCCCTCCCTCGCGTAGGCAAATGTTCTGAGCGAGCCGCACTATCCGAACAATGAAAAGAGACGGAGAGGGGGTGTACAGGGTTGGACCTGTAGAGGATCGCAGGCCAACGCAGACCTTCTGAGTTTCCCGGCTTGACATGTGGCTATTCAGCTTCTCCCAAGGATTTCCTATCGGTCTAGGAGAGTCCACCGCGCAATGACTTTTCATGGAGAACATTTGTGACTTATGAGATTAATTTTAGATTTGTTTTATCGTCGTTTTGTGTGCAAGAGTGTTTTTTTAAATTTTTTCGTGCTTTTTTTGATTATCTGTTTTTGAATTTTTCTGTTTTTGTGTTGTGCGTTAGTTATAGCAATGGCGGTCCGAATCAGACAATTTGTGACTGGCAATAGCCATATGACTTGTAGCGGGTCTAATAAACGCGGCACACGGCACGGTAAAAACGCGCGCAGTAAGAGTACTGAAACTAAACATTATCTCCTGGAAGACAGGATTTATTCAGTGAAATCGAGGGATCGCGATCCTATTTGGTACTTCCGATGTACCACTAAGAACTGCCCAGGAACTGCTCGTGTTGAATGGCAAGGTTATCGGCACCGCAAAGGAAAGATCACCCCTTTAAACCCTCATGCCACAGAGTTTTGCGGTCCACAGTGCGTAAAGGAAGTCTCAGCCTTGCAGGATTTGAAGCGGCGAATTCTGCACCGGTGTAGAACGGAGAGCACCAAGCCGCGGACAATCTTCACACAAGAGAGGAGGAGGTAAGTCTCGACTTGTCATTCTCGAGTGACTACCATTCAATTATATTAAGGAGATTTCTATCAGTTAAAATCCAAAAATAATGAACAGCTGGTTGGACGGTTCAGAATCGGTGGTTGGGGTAATCTTCCGATAATCATACCATTTAAACCATTATCAGTGCTCTGAGCCCTGCTTAGATTCCTCTTTAACAATTCCTCTTTTAAAAAAATAAATTATTTCACCAAAAATTTTAAAAGTAATTTCAACTTTAAATTTATAGTCCCCCCCCCCTCAATTCTGTCTTCGCGTAATGAAAACATTTATTTAGGCCTTGTCTCCACGGGACGTTTTCATAGGATTTGTCCCAAGTTCGAATCACAGGAATGAAACTTCTGGGATTTTTCTCGTCTCCACGGGACGAGGCTCATACGGTCCTGCGACGAGTTTGCGCGGGAAGATAGATTAGTTAAAGTCGAATATTTAACCGGGATTAAAATAATAATTGCACTCAATTGACAATAGTACACATTGTTTTAACTAAACTAACATTAACAATGGAGTAATCAACGAAATATTGCACAATTCTCACTTCTTTCTCACTTCTTCTTCCTCTCTCAGTGCGTCCTAGGGGTGCAAGGACCATTTTTGATACTGGGAAAAATATTGATTAATTCAAAATTTTTCCCAACTTCGTAAGTGGGCTTTTTCCCAGGGACAAATCCTGTGAAACTGCCCGTGGAGACAAGGCCTTATCGATCACAACTTCTTACTCAAGCGAGAAAAGTTAGATTTCCAGTTCATTCACGCGCCAGCTGAGCACAGTGCGTCATTTTAAATCTTGGCGCCACTTGTATATTATCACTATGAGTAGTATAGAACGATTCAATGTATCCATCATTTCAAAAATATCGTTTCACCTGTTCCACCTGCTGATAAATTTGGTTGGAGTGGACTGGACAGAAACCCGGCAAAGAGTAAACTGAATAATTTGTCTTTTCTTTGAGGAAATACCTCCGTACTCCGTACACTATCAGTTCATAATCATAGAAAACCTGCTCAAATTCTCTAATGGCAATCGGCACTAGTGCGGAAATTAGCCATTTGACTTTCGTGTTGTGTTCGGAGTTTTCGTTGTTTTTCTTTCTCACTCATCTAAAGGAAGAGAGAAAGTGTAATTCTTCAGTAGAAAGCCAATCCTCTCCTCCCGTGCTTCAGTGCGAAATTTATTCTAACAAACAAGGCACCTGCAAGAGTGATTGTGAGGGAGTATTATTACCATTATGTCATAGTTGTGTTGGAGTCGCATGGCAGTCAGAGTGATCATACCGGAGGCAAGTTCTAGATATAGGTTCAGCACTTGACCCGTACTTTTGGTTTCTGTTTCTAAGATTTGCTAATGGTTGCCCATAATTCAAAAGTTGAATACAACCACCTGGTTTTTGCCCGTAGTGTAAAACCTGCATTGCACTCTTTACATCCACCTAGGGCTGCGAATGTCTGCCTTGACAATTTCAGCGAATTTAATTTAACCACTCCTGATACTTATCATGAAGTTTCGCCTCAGATTCTTTGCTGGCCAAATCCAAATAGGTACCTAGTTGAAATTCTGAAGCAGCCCTTTTTCCGTAGCCTTTGATAAGTAGATAGGTACCTGTGTGTGGACCTTTTCAACCATGTATCCCATTATTATAACCATTATTATTCGATCTCATGTCAACACTGAAAATCATGCATCTTAATGACCATTCACCATTTCAGCCCACTGATGAATGTACGTTCACCAAGCTAGTAGGCTTACTTCACTCTTCAATTTTTCCTTATTTTGTCTTGAGCTGCACTTTCGATGTAAGCTGCAGGCCAATTATTGAAATTTAAAGCAGCTTGATAAGACATTGAATTGGGATATATTGCATGGTTGAGATAGGGCTATGTCTTGTCGTGTCAGGCTGACATAGTTTCAATAATCGGGCCGCTGTTTGGGACTGTTTGGAAACAAAATTGCCCGATTCCAAACAGTCGGCGTTGTTGGACTTAGTCAGAATTTCCCGATGACTTGGCTGTTTCATATGAAAGCTGAAGATTAGTAATGTTGCCATGAGTTTATGGTGCGAATGGTCGGAAAGACATGCATATACACATCCTCTACTTCTCTGTGCACTTCTCTATGCTCTATGTGCTTATCTAGGGTTTGGTTATCCCATTTCTGAATCGAATTGCACACCTCATCCTCAATTCTTTTCATCCAAGCACAAACAGGTATAAACTGACAAGTGAAATGACAAAACATTGAAACTCTGTTTGCATCCTTGCAATTTACCAGCCACATTTACCTTTGATTTTTCTCATGTCTAGTCTCTCTGTAACTCACTTCTACCCTGTCTTTTTGTCCAGTGCACTTAAATTCTCACATTAGTAGGAAACTTGCTGATCCAAGCAGGAAAAATCAATTGCCCTACCCTCCTCTGAGGTGATGTAGGAACCTTAGTTTGCAATATTGCTTTACTTTATGTTTCAATTGGAAAATGTATCGGCAAAAGGCACTGAAAATTCCGGAAAGTTTTAATCTCATGTTTGGGGTCGATATGTTCTGTGATAAATGTTAATTCAAGCAATAAAGTTGGCTAGTTCGAAACTCTTAACACACCAAGTGTTCGAAAAATAATACCCATCAGAACCGAACATTTTGTAGCATCACAATCAAGGTATATGATCTGCTACTGTAGTATTTCATACACTTTTTAATGATTCTATGTCTACAATGACACTTAACTTCCATTTTTCAGGGAGCGACCGAAGGTTCGGAGAGGGTTGACTTTCAGATCTTTCCGTGTAACCATGTGGAGACATAGAAGAATGGGTACTCCTCCAACACCAGATGATTTTAAGGAATTGGATCAGTACATAAAGCTCAATCTTAAACGCTATGGACTGGTTGACAAGAAGAAAGTTTATGTTGGGCTAGAGGTGAGATGTGCACATATGCTTTTTCCATTATTATTCCAATGTCTATTAATTCATGAAGTCTGCTTGGAGTTTGACACATTAGTAGCTAATCAGATTTGTTTTGTAAGATGACATAAGCAGGAAACAAGTTCAACTTGAAAAGTGGTGGAAAACCTGGAAAAGATTGACTTCTTTTTTTTTAAAGATAACCATAACCTCCTATAATGATTCCCTATTTTGCCCAAACATTTTTTCTCTCCAAAATTCGAACTGTTTATTTCTGTCTAGGTACTAATTTTAATTTTTATGACTAAAACACGTGAGTTAGCTGTCAAATATGGAAAAAGTGAGGAAATCATTTCTTTGCAATTTTCTCTCTTCATCTGTGGATCACCAAGCATGGTTTCTGCCGATAGGCTCTCAAATGTCTAATGTTCTCTCTATTTCAAAAGTCTTAGCGATGAGGAACAAAGTTTTTGAAAAAAAAAAACATTTTCATGAAATATCGTGGCCAAAAAAAAAACAAAAAAAAAAAAAATTAATAAATAACAAAAAAATAAAAGGGGCATAAACCTTTATGCTCAAAAACTGGAAAAAGTTATGGAATTTTGAAATTGAAGAAAACCTTTCCCTTTATAAAAGTGACTGAGGACCAGAGAACAGAGGAGTTACATATCTTGGTTTGCAGACATTTCAACTATGCATCTGGTATTAAAAGTGCAAGTCAAAAAGTGTGTATTTCATAGGTATTGCACTTTTTGAAAATTTTCATCTATGTTTTATCATTTAAAATTTTCATCTATGTTTTAATCCTAAAATATACATATATATTCTTGAAATGTACCATTAATTGAGAAAATTCACAAAGTGTTTCAAGGAAAACTGTCTGTTGCCTTTCTCCAAAAGTATTAAAACCTCAGCAGAGACTTGTAGTGTTCCAATCAAAGATAAACATCTTTTGATGTCAGCAATTGATACAATGTGTTAATGAATGAGAACCTGTTGCTTGTTTTGAATTCCTTAAAACAATTAAAACTTAAACTATCCTCCTTCGTTTGTCCGAAAATATCCTCTAAAAATTTCATGCACTGTTTGAAAATAAGTCTCTCCTCATGAAGTTCAGTAAGAATGTAAAATTTGCAATACAGCAATGGATTCATAGGTAGTTCCAAATTTTTGGCTTAACATCTCAACAAAAAATTTCAAATGGCTAACACCGCGGTATTGTTTTAAATGGAAACGTTTTAATCTTTGATGAAACTATTGGAAAGCCTGAGTCTCCTCTAACATTCATTTCAGCTATTGCCTCTTTTTTTTTTCAACGTTGAAGGAGCATCAAGGCCTACCTTTTCAGGCGCTCCCCTTGCAACTTCCCTCAATATCATCTGCTTATCCCTGCTACAAACAAGATTAACATGTGCGTTCATTTTTCCCTCCAGGGCACCGGTAGACACTCTTGTATTGTGTATGCAAACCGAATGCTGCTGAATGAGAAAGTTCCAGATGAAGTGCATATCGATGGAACGTTCAAAGCAAGACCTGCAAAACCAGCATCAGCACAGTTATTTACAATTTTGGGAATGTATCATGGAGTGGTGAGTATTTTACCTGTTCTGAAGTAATATGATTTACAACTTGCATTACCTAGTTGGCCCTAGAAGGCTCTGAGTGTTCCCCAATTTTCAACATTTTCTTCTTGTGATTGTTTATGAGTAACTTATTAGTATGGCACGAACCATTTTTGCCACTAGCTCTACAGGTGCCCACTAAGGTTTTTTGGAAATTTAGAAAAAATTCGGAAACCTAGCGACAGGACCCTCAGCAATACCTATGGCACAAAGTAGTCTAACCAGTGCCTATAATGATTAGTCACCATAGCATTTCCTCTAACCAAGGATTGCTTTGTGCGGCCGAAAATTTGAATCTTACTTAAGCAACTTAATTTTTATGTAGTTTCTCTTCACTGATCTTACTATCAGTATGTTCGAGTTTTTAGCCAACGTGTGTTAAAAATTCAGCATAAAAGCTGAAAATCTCAATACCGATCTTATTATGGATCTTACTGTCAGTGGATTATTTTTGTTCACATAAATGTTAAGACCAGAAAACGTTGTTCCTTAATTTGTGGAGATGCTAATTTCTTGTTTACTGTTTGTTTTTTTTTGTTTTTTTTTTTCCCAAATGATCCATGAAAAATTAGCAATTACAAATTTTTGAACACAATTTTTGGGCCATCAGTATTATTGCGCCTTGAGTTGTAGTGATGTCTTAGAGTGAATAAATCAGTTGTTGCAAACAGTTCAAATCATAAACTAAAACCTGTAGAAGAGAAAATAAAAAGAAACATCTTGAGAGAAAACGGAAGTCCAAAGCTAGTACTGCTTGAAAATATTACAAAAACTTGAAATTTGCAATACTTGGATTAGCTGCTATTTTGTGAATGACAGCCATAGACTTGCAATTAGCATAAAATTTTCCCTTCAGTTATCCTTGTCCTAACAGTTTACAATAGTACTTATAGAGGCGTCTCTCAAAGAAAACAAATGTGATATACCTTCCTAATTGTGCACCCCCTCCCCGTCTGTTTTGCGCAATTAGACTCAAATGTGATGAGACACATTTGTTGCTTTTTATTGGTACTTGACATTACAAATTACTCCATTTGTTTCAGGCCATTCCGATCGCATTCGCCCTTATGAGAGGCAGGAAGAAGCAGGCATATGCTAATGTATTTGAATCTCTGAAAAGGGAGTTTCCTTGCTTCGAACCTTCAGTTTTTGTTTCCGATTTCGAGCGAGCCATGCACTCGGCTATAAAATTTTCCTTTCCATCTGCCAAACATTTTGGATGTTTCTTTCATTTTGCTCAGGTAGGCTTCTGCTTTAAATTCTATCAATCTGTATTTCTCTGTGATGTTCTTCTTAAACTTAGGTAGATAATAATGTGCCAGCTAATTCTATATTTGAAGCATTATTCGTGACTTCTGATGGAAAAGGAACCTCAGTTCTCATGAGCTAGATTTTCAGTAAAGCAATTTTTCTCAAGTTGCCTCGAAAAATATAATTTTGAGTTTTTGACAAGAAATGCTATCTACTGTTGCTATCTAGTGTTCTGATGAATAAGCGGTGAGATGCCTAGTTAATTTATCTGTCCACAAAAGGTGTATAATCGCATTATAATCTGGCACTATCTTGCCTATAATTTGTCAAAATAGGTTCATAAAAAGCTCGTTTTTGGAAACTACGTTTTTTTAACTGCAAACTTTAATTCACTAAAACTCTGGTTCAGTTTGACCGTTTTGAAAATTTTCTCACCTAAAACATCAATAGTACACTCCACTATACTCCTTATACAAGAACTATCTGGGCAGCAATTATGTTTCAAGTTGCAATGAGGTGTGATCGGCACCATTAGTTTGGCACTTCTCCTCTTTTCTGTTCACCTGTTGAAGAACCCATGAATCAGTTTGTTAAACTTGCTTAAATATGGCAGAGCTCCCTCATTGTTGAAGACGACCCCCCTCATGACTGTAAGCACCGTATGGTCCATGAAGGAAGCCAGTGAAGGGAGTACCTGCGTCAAGAGGGCTCTATGAAATATAGTTTTTTTAATATCTCTCAATTGCACTCAAGGCAGATTTAGAGATCTTACCTCTACTTAGTTACAGGTATTGTCTAATACAAACCTTTTCACCATCCCTCTTTCCTCCCACTCTATCTGCTGCTGAAGATGTATGACTCATTTTTCTTAATCTCATTTGTTCCAGGCAATATTTCGCAAAGCAAGAAGCCTTCATCTTGATGTCATAACAGAAGGCATTGAGAAGAAAATAGTACGTATGCTCATATCCACTGCTCTCTTACCAGCTGACAGAATAGAAGAGGCATTTGAAGAGGTTAAGAATCTTGCGAAAGAAAAAGGGCTAGAGAACAAAATGGATTCTTTTTTCAGGTATTGGTTTTAACTGATCCATTCATCATTCGCATGCGCTGTACCATAAACTGTTCTCATTTTATTCATTGGATGGAGGTGAGGGCCCACCCTCTCTAGTTCTGTCTTGCAGGAAAGAGGTAAGAAAGGAAACTATGGGAGCCCTTCATCCTATGTAAGAGTGTACCTTGTAGTTACTTCTACCTTGAATTTATCACTTGTAGTAACATATAACCAGATCTGTAAAAAGGGACTATATCCTCAAAAATTCAAATTTTACGTTAATTGGTAACACTGCATGAATGAGGAAAATCTGGTTATTTTGGTGCAAGTTTGACACTGAGAACTCACAAAATTGGCGCACATGGCATGCATAGCTTAAGTGCAGAGCAAGTTCCATTTGATCATGTAATTTAAGTTTTTGCAAAAAAGTGAGGTAAATTTTCTCCTGGAATAAGTACAGGGTTCCTTTTCACAGATTGGGTTGCACATTTGCACCGGTTACCCTAAAGACATCACTTATCAAACCATTGTAGGATGGACAATCCTGGCCAATCCACAGGGACATTCCCATTGACGAGGTTTGAGACCCTATTGTAAAGTAGGAGCTGTCGTTGCTTGAATCGTTTTCTGTGTAATAATTTAAAAAAAAATCTAGAGCGGTTACTGTCTAGTTCAGACTTTGTTTAGTGGCCCATTATGTAACCTCACATTGCTGACTTTTGTGCTCAACATAAGTGGTATGACTGTATTTGCACCTTTAAAAAAGGAATTACCGCCCGAACCTTCAACTTTCTTCCAACTGATTTTTGTGACTCCACGGCGAACTCCATAATGCTAAAATTTTGTTAGTCCAGCAGTCTCTCGCACCATCAGCGTATTTCATAATCGGCTCCCTCTTCAAATGTGATTATATTTTTTGAAAATGTAGAGGTGGAATTGAAAATGTATTAATTGATCTCATGTCTGTTTGCAGTTACTTCGAAACATTTTGGATTGGAAAGATTACACCTGCTTCCTTTTCGGTTTTCGGTGCTCAAAATCGCACAAATAATGTCCAAGAAGGATTTCATCGAGCTCTGAATGGACTCATTGATTCAAGAAGACCTGATGTATGGGATTTGCTCTGTACGTATAGGCTAAATTTTTTCGATCCATGATTTTTTTAAACTGAGTATATAAAACTCAATATATTTTATTAAAATTACAGAAGAAAGTCACAGAATATCCTTCTATATTTTTTTCAGTTGATAATGGTGCTGTAATATGCCAGAATGCCTTGCATTCTCATTTTTATAAGTAGTAGCCTTGTTTGTTTTCCTCATTTTGTACTACAGGGTGTCATTTGTCTTTCAATCTCCGAAGAGCAGGTCTCAGTGGTGACTGATTGTCCCAGAGGGCCCAAATGCGCTAGTTTAGCAGCGAGGATACATATTTTTGTATTTCCCTACCATACCTCAACATATTAGAGAACCGAAAGTTTCCAGGAAAAACCAAACTGACCATGAAAATCTGAAGTCTATTTTATGAACATAAGAAAGTTTTCTCCTCAATTCTTAATTTTTTGACAAACTGACACATGTTGACCGGCATAATGAAATGAATTTCATTCGACCCATTTGCTTTCATATTGGATTCCATGCTTATTTTGAAGCTTAATAACCTCCTTAAATAGTAACTCTTTCTTTTTCTTATGTAGTGAAATTGTGCCGCCTCAAATTTTAATTTTTGATGTAATTTTTTTCCTCTTCTTTCACCAAACAGCATGCCTTTTAGACCTCTTGAGTGATGGCAATGATCTTCACGATCAACTGGAATGTGGCGTAATATCTGCGGCACCAAGAAGAGGAAAATGGCTGTTGCAGGATCATATTGTGAAATCAAAACAAAAATTAGTCGCCTCGGGAGCCTGCACATTGCTCGAATTTATGTCAGCCATGTCCTACAGAGTTGGGCAGTGCGTACAAATGCGCAAAAAGAGGAACACCGTAACCCTCGATGAGAATGATATGGGGCCACTAGATGCCCCCGCTGAAAGTGATCTTGACGAATCAGGTATGGAAAAGAAATAAATATTTTAGGGAGCATTTGCTCTATGGTGAATAACTCTTCCCTCAAACCTTATTTTTAAGTTCAGCTTGGTTAACATAGTCTTCAATTTTCAATGAATATTTGCTACAATGACAATGAAGGGACCGGCTGTCTCAGGTCCTTGTATACAAATGTTGTCATGAAATAGTTGAGTGATTACATGCTCAGGTTGATTTAAAGAGTTTTAAGAGGAAGTTGTTTCAGATTTTAATTTACCATGTAAAGGATCTCATTTAAATGCAGCATTACAAGAGAATGAATTAAAATGTTACCAACTAAATCCTTTGGATGGAAAAGAGTTTTTTCATACAGAATCCAAATTCTACTTTTCTATCTAACGGGACGTAAGTTGATTTCCTGATGAATTTGCCTCTTTGCTTTCGGCCCCCATACCGAAGGAAGGTCACATACATTCAGGGTGTTCCAAAAGTCCCCCCCCCCTCTAACTTTTGAACGGTTTGAGATGGAGAAATGAAACTTTGGGAATGTTCCTATCTTAAAGGGGACCATCTTTCGGGAGTCAAAATTTTGGTCCCCCTCAGGGGGGAGGGGGGCAGGGGGCTCAACTTTTTTTTTCGAATGGCAACCCCTATCTTGTGATACCTCATTCAAAAGAGCATAAAAAAACTAAGAATTTTGGCGCAAACTGCAGATCAAAATCTTAATTTTTGACAGAGTAATGATAGGTCAAAGGTCAAATTTGAATTATTTTCAAAAAATCATAACTCCAGTTCAAATTATCGTACAGAAGAAAATAAAACAAGAAAATTTACCCAATTGTGTTTGCTTTTAAGTAAAAATTGCAGAAATCACTTTAAACTAATTTTAAGGGGGGTTCGGACCCCCGAATACGTCAATTCAAAGGTCATTCAATNTTGAACTTTTCCCGAAATTTGGGGATTTGCCAACGTAATGTTGAACTGATTTTGACCTTACTGAGATAATGTGGAGGCAAATCTAGGGGAAATTGGCTTTTTTTGCGGGAAAATTGAATGACCTTTGAATTGACGTATTCGGGGGTCCGAACCCCCCTTAAAATTAGTTTAAAGTGATTTCTGTAATTTTTACTTAAAAGCAAACACAATTGGGTAAATTTTCTTGTTTTATTTTCTTCTGTACGATAATTTGAACTGGAGTTATGATTTTTTGAAAATAGTTCAAATTTAACCTTTGACCTATCATTACTCTGTCAAAAATTAAGATATTGATCTGCAGTTTGCGCCAAAATTCTTAGTTTTTTTATGCTCTTTTGAATGAGGTATCACAAGATAGGGGTTGTCATTCGAAAAAAAAAGTTGGGGCCCCCTGCCCCCCTCCCCCCTGAGGGGGACCAAAATTTTGACTCCCCAAAGATGGTCCCCTTTAAGATAGGAACATTCCCAAAGTTTAATTTTTTTATCTCAAACCGTTCAAAAGTTTGAGGAGGGGGGGCTGGACTTTTGGAACACCCTGTATAATTAAAGATTAAATGATCACATAAATTAGCAATTATTGCAGCTATTACGATTTTATATCGAAAAGCATATTTGGCAGCTATGTTTTATTTTAATCCCTTTGATAATTACGAGAATTTTGCTCATCATAAGTACACACTAATTCTTTCCAGAAGTTGATTTTATCTGTAGACTATGGAATATGTAAGTAGATGAACCTAGAAGTCTTTTAGGACCAAAGAATTTTATTTAATCAAATTGCTGCACGTTTCAGAAAATTCCGAAGGAGAGGAAAGTGAAGACGCAGATGAAGCTGCTGATGAAGAGGAAGAAGAAGATCACGAAGAGCAAGATGTTGAAGATGATGATGATGACGATAATGATGATGATGATGATGATGATGATGATGATGATGATGATGATGATGATGATGGTAATGATGATGGTGATGATGAAGAGGGAGGAGGTGCTGAACCTGAAGAAGAAGATGGAGATGCCGAAGAAGAAGGATTGGAAGAAGATGATTTCGAAAGTGAAGCAGATTATGCACAAAACAGTGAAGGAGAATATGATGAAAGTGAAGAAGATGAAGTATCAAACTCCCGTAGAGGCTTATTTCTTCGTTCTGGAAGGATTATTGGTGCAGGTAGGATGTTTCACCCCTAACCTTTTACTACTCTGTTTTGCTCTCTGAGAATGAGAGAAATTTTCTGTGCATTATAGAAAACAATAGGCAGTCTATTTTGGAATTCTAAAATTTTCTCAAAAGAGACAGAAGCCAAATAACCGATTTGAAACTTTAAGTTTAAGTGAAAAGTACCTGAATAAAAAAAGATTTATGCTGCAAATTTAGCATGATAAATTTGCAAGTGTGAAAAAGATTTCAGCAGGTAATTGTCTTTGAACTGAAGGTAAAGACGGGTGCAGGGCACAGGGCACAGGGAGGATAATAATAGAGAGGAAGGATTTCATTCGATGATCTGCTGTCTTTGACGCCTTACTCACTCTTTTCACCCAGTGAATCTGCTGTAAGAAGCTCCTGATCAATTAAACTATTCCATCTCTGATCATCATTTATTCCTGTCTATCTATATAATCCATCATGTTTTCATTTTTGGTCATAAATATTGTCAGTGGAATTGAATTTTTAACTAGACTTTTCTCCAAAAAATGCTTTTAGATAAGTTACGGAATATATTGAATTATGAATTATCCTGAAAGTTTGGAAAAGAATTATGATCATTTACATGCATGACTGAGGAAAGCATGTCATGTGATTGAGAAACACTTAAACATTTTTTGTTGACCTTACGGATGTAATAATCTAAACTGGTGTTTCATCACAAAATGTATCTAAGAATTCCTGCATGATTATTGATCACTATGTATTAATCACAGAATTTGAAATGTTTTATCATGAAAATTTTGAACCTATACACTAAGAGTATTTCTGCCAGTTTTTTAAAGCCATTTCTTTTCACAATCTTTTGCAGATACTCGAACACCGTTACCATTAGCACCAGCATCTTTAGCTACTATTTCTGCGCCCATGGCTCTTGTACCATCTGCACCAGTACCGTCAGCACCTGTACCATCTGAACTTGAACCTCCAGTACCTGCACCCTCTTTACCTGAACCTCCAGTACCCGCACCCCCTTTACCTGAACCTCCATTACCTGGACCATCTGCATTTGGGCTTTCCACGTTTGGATCTTCAAGGCCCAGATCCACCCTAAGTGGACCCTCCGCGCTTGCACCTCGCCAGAGTAGAAGATTACAAGGTAAAGACCGAAGTAAATGTCTCATCACTAGTGCTAACCAGTAAATTAAAGCTTTGTAAACTCGAGAGTGTCCTATTTCAAAGAATATCAAAATTATTCTCTTTTTAAAACAGCTATCATGAGAGAGGAAATGTTTTATATTAAAGTTCCCCTGCTTTTAAGGTACGAAGAAAGTTTTCTCCATTTGGGCCCACGTCTACCTCAGCAAAGCAGCATTACCTGTACAAAGCAGCATTATTTTTAAAAAAACTGATTGATTACCTAATTCTCACTAATTGATCTCACTAATTTAATCCACTTTTGGAAACCGAATCACAAGAAGAAAATAAATAAACATTTGGTTCCTTTTACTCAAAGTATGCCTTGTTGAATAAAAAAAATTTTATTTCATGATGTAATTTTTTTTTTTTTAGGTTCTCGAATCGTTTCCTCAACTACGACTACACCTGCACAAGTACCTTCACCCTCTGCATCTGTGCCTGGACCCTCTGGAATTGCGCCTGGACCCTCTGGAATTGCGCCTGGACCCTCTGGAACTGCACTCCGTCAGAGTAGGAGGATACAAGGTAAATAACTTCAAAGATGTTATGTCTTAAATGAGTTGATTTAACTTAAAAATCAAAAAGATTTTTCACAGAGCTTTTTAAATTAAGTGCTCTTCTCCTGAAACAACAATATATAAAGTAGTGGATATCCCTCATTACGTATTAAATATGTTTATAAAAAAAGCCAAAGATATAATATATAAATATGGGTAATCTACCAAGAAAATTTGTTTAATCTCCAGTTTTACCAGGTGTTCTTCCAGTAAAATGCGTGACTGGATCTTTGAAAAGAGACCCTATCATTCCAAAATTCATATTTGAGATGTTAATACCTCTTCTTAGAGGAAAAAATCTAAAAACTTTGGCGCAAGTGTGACCTGAAAGCACAAAAATTTCAGGATATATGATCTCCTGAAATTCAAAGGCAAACATCCTTAGGTCTTGGGCTAAATTTAAGTTGAGGATTATGACATGCACACAACAAATGAGCAGCTAGTGTCCTCTGTGATGTGAAAATTAATCCGAAGGCCTCTAGAGAGCATCTCCTGATGAGAAATTAAAATAGCTTCTTTTTCTTAAACTTTTTCCCAAATTTGGCTCTCTTGGAAAGTTTTCACCTGGAAAATAAGGTCTCCAAGGTGCTATTCATAGATCTGATCATAGGCAGGATATTGAATGTGACCAAAATCACCATGATTTTTATAGAAAAACTCTATATTTCTCCCTTTATGTTCACAACCATTCTGCATAATAAGAAGTGATTCCTCTGTTTCTTTTACTCTTTAAACCATGAGAATCTTTCGAGAGTACAATAGTGCAAGGGCAGAGCAGTAATCTTAAACAGTAAAGTTGGAAGGAGAGCTATGCTTGAGGTAATCTTTTAATGTATGTATTTGTGTAACACTATCTCCATGAATAAGCTGTCAACCAAGTAATTTGTCTATTTCCAGAAGCTCAGCAACGAGTACGCCAGGTTCCGCAATTCGTACCTCAAAATGGGCCGCGGATGAGACAAAGGACTCGAGCAATTTTACAAGCTGCTGCTAACTCTCAGTCTGCTGAACAAGAAGTTCTAGAAGCATTTGAGAGAGGAAATATTGCAAATGATGATCCTCGCATAGGTAAATGTTACTGAAATACCCATCTAACTTAAATGATACCTGTTGAACATGATTCATTTTATTTAGGTGCGAAGTAGTTTTATATGAAGGGAAATGAATTGGATCTCATCTAGCAACTGTCAAAAACAAAAATGAAAAATCATAGCAATAAAGTTAAGCTTGGCAGTATAACATTCTGACTGTGTTTTGGAAACCATTTTTTGCTAGGCAGGGCTTTTATTTTTGCCCTTTTTTTGTATCATGGTCCAATCTCAATGACACATTTAAGAAACTCCAATAATAATACTGTCTCATAATTTTTTTGTATTTTACAATATAAGCTGTAAAATGTGACTCATTGAGCTCAATATGCCATTGTAATCATTAAAGCCAATTTTAAAAAGGGTAAAATTGGAAGCAATGGTTTCTTCTAAATGTCCTCACAAGAAATTGTTATATGAGGACTTAAATGTAACAATGGCGGATGTAAAAAATTACCTTTTCGAAACACATGTAAAAAATTGTTTTGGCATCGAGAAAATTTTGAGATAATACTTGAGATGTGATCTTCGAGATCTGTACATTATGCCAGAGCCAAACATATTAAATTTTTGTGTGTACAAAACAGTTTTTTAAGTGTATTTCGAAAAGGTAATTTTTCACATCCGCCATTGTTACATATAAGGCGTCATATTCTGTTAAGAATGATATTTTAATTATTGTGGATTGCAAATTTCGCTTAAAAAGAAATATTAGCAAGAAAAAAAAATTAAGTAATGAAAAATAAAAATGAACCCCAATTAGCTTTCATTCTCCTGATTACTGTTGTCTATTTTCAGTGGAAGGTGTGGCTAACCTCTATGCAGAGTATCAGCGATTTTTCCCACAACCTATTGATACCTCAGACTCGGATGATGATGCACCTTCAGGTGAATAAGCATGTATTTGATGTAATCAGTTTTCTCTCT